AGTCTTGTACCCTTCAGATGCTTTTAACTATTTGTACATCATTCCTGACCATCGACCAGGATGTCTGGGGCTGATGAGCACTGAAATCTCAGGCGGGGCTAAGGCAAGGCTGAATGTCACTGTGTATGATTCAAAAAGAATGGACTGATCTTTTTCTCCTGCTTTCACCATAATTTGGACCCACCCTGAAATCAATTGGTAACACACTAAACAAAGCCCTCCTCTTTAGCACATGATGCACAATTAAATTATGGAAATTCTCTGCTACAGCATGTCAGGAAGGCTACTCAAAAGAGGATTAGACAATTCATGGGTGAGAAGTCCTTCAATGAATGTATGTGGGCAGTTAGTAGGGATGTATGGATACTGCTAAATATGTTTCATCCATGTTCTGTGGATTGTCAGGCATCTTTCATTGCATTGTCAACTTACCAATGGATTCAGATTTTTTTCCTTTTTTTAGGAAAGGATAGTATTCATGTCTGAAATTGCACCGGTATATATTTGCACAGATCTCTCCCCAAAGGTGAGGATGATCTACAGTTCCATGGTCCACTGCAGAATCTGCAGGTCAGATCCAGAGAAATCCGAAGTGATTGGAACTCATTGCAAATTCCTTCAACATCCCTAGCAGTAAGGAACATACAAACTGAGCAGCAGTAGAAACAGAGCACTGAATGGGGATGTCAGAGAAATTCACAATGGAAGCAGATGAATTCTCAGAGTCTGTCCTGTGGATTTTGCAGCAAACCGACTTTCCTGGCCCTGAAGAGAATGCAGGGCTTTCAGGCAGATTTTTATATTCTCTGTGTTCTTGCACCAATTTAGCTGCCAAAAATATGCAAAATAAAAAATGCCCGAATGTACAAATCCACCAGTGAAGTTTGAAAAGACATATTTTGGCTGATTTGCACAATGCAAACATGAAAATACATGTGAAAACTTTGCAAACATTTTTAGTCTGACAGTGTATGGAGCAAAAGGTACTTGAAAGCCCACGGACAAAGGTGGAATGCTTTTGCTCCATTACCCATCCCTGTGTTGGGCAAAACTGCTGCCTTCGTGCCCTGCTTTTGGCATCTGTCTGGCTACTATGAGAATGGAGCTTTGGTCTGATCCAGAAAGAAACTTCTTATGATAAGACAATGTACAACTGTCCCAATATGTGATGCTACAGCAGGTTATAATCTGCTTCCGGGCACAGATTGTGCACAAAGAGCTCTTAAACTGAGACCCTGCGTAGTGGTAACTTAGCTTCACAGGGAATAAATGCACATGTGTTTAAAATCCAAATGTTGCCCTCCAAGTTGTGTGTATATGATTCATGGTCTCTTGTAACTTTACATCTGTTCTGCAAACAGCCCTCTCTGTTTTTATTTATCTGCATTTGCCCCCTCTGTCACCATCGTGAACGTTTGGGGAGGTATTCAACATAACTAACATATAGCATCTCATTAGGAGATTGTTGTTCAAAGCACATTTATTTGTGAGGAAATGCTGATATGCGCTGAGGCTGTCAAGCAGATGCTTGTCTAACATCATCCAGAAACAAGTCACCAGGCAGGAGTTAAGAGATATTTGTTATGCTGTTTAGAAGACAGCTGAAGGGAAGCAGAAAAATGTTTATCTTAAGGGTAATGTTTTCATTGTTTAAAGAATGAAGGAGCAGAATCAAAAGAACAGATTTCCTGAAACATATTATTTTTGTAATCCTACACAGATTCAAGAAATATTTTCAAGATGCAGACTAAAGAGACTGGCCTAATTATGTATTGAAAATGTTATATAAATCTCTTCCTCCTTACAAAATCTTATTTGACCTTGTTTAGACTAGAGTTTCTTGGTTTTATTGTAATTCAACTTAGTTGGCTACTGCTTTACTCTGATTAGACATCCTTTTGGTAAACATGCATCTAAACACTGCATAAACTCTTGTTTATTATAAAATTGTAAGAGCCCGATAATTTTCTGATTGTTTTTTTTTTCAGGAGTCATATTAGATTTGGCATTATAAATGTTTCACTGACATGCTGGAAGAGATATTTAATACTGATAAGCCATACTAATTCTCTTGTTAAAATATGACTGTACTAATAGTTCTCCCAATTTCCTAACTGTGCCTGCTCTGTGCTGAATTATATCTGGTGCTTTGCCTTCAAAGCTCAGCTATCCCCTTGGCTAGCCAGCGACCAGCCTAGATGTGGTGTTAAATGCATTCAATATCAAGGAGTTTTTAAGAATTCAAATAGCAGCTGAGAGGGCTGATAATTATCAGGGATGAAGCGGGGGGGGGGGATTTAACCCCTTCCTGCTACAGCCCCAAGAAAAATCCTTCTCTAGCTGTATTTGCACTGCAAGGAAGTCCCACATTAGTACCATTGGAAAATTTTGCCTCTTCTCCTAAAATAAGATAATATTAATCCAAGTTAACTCGCATTGGCACCCATACCAGCTTCAGAGGAAGGATTTTCCTCTGGACCCCAGCAGTGAAGGGAAATGTTGAATTGCTCCTTCTCTTCCTTCTGTGCTTCCATGAATTGACACACACATGCACATCACGATGCTTTCTGCATTTTAAAAAAGCCATGGTAAAGCCCAAATGAAAGTAAAGCCAGGCTGGCTCACCTGCATCACGCAGCAGCATGGGAGGATCGGCAACTGCCCCACACAGCTCTGCCCACCCGCCGCCCACGTTCTTACCAGCCACTGTCCGGCAGCGGCATTTGTCACAACAAGAGAGCAGCCAGAGGGGCTCCAGAATGGTGGATAATTTGTCAGAGGTTCAGGAATAAATACCTTCTCACTTTTTTCTCACCTCATTCCCTGTAGCTGGAAGAAATGGTGGTGAGCTCTTGCAGGCACTGTCAGAGGACTCGCACAAGCTGCCACGAGAGCCACGGGAGTCATGAAAGAGCTGTGCAGTGGCTGTTTATGGCCACATATGTCTCCGTGGGGCTGATGTTGCAGTAGGAACAGAGGATACAGTGAAGGAGAGGGTGGGGGAAAGGGGTCAAGGGATTGCGAGGGCAGGACCACTCTGTTTCTCTCTTCCACCTGGTGCCACACCTGGCCAGATTAAAGCCCTGTGCATCTTGGACACAAACAGTTCATGCCAAGGATATTCAACAACCAATACCATTGGTGGTGGGCATTACTGGGAAGACTTTTCTGGCAGATTTACTGTGGGCTAACACATTGGGCAGTCTTCACAAATAGTGGAGCAGGCTAGGAGGGGAATTGTCTCTGGAAGGCAAACTTGCAGAGCCATAGATTTTTTTGGTAAGGAACACGCACACACACACACTCCCCATTGCCTACTAGGTTCAAAGGGAATAAGTAGATGAAATACAGCTAGCCTTGACCATACTACTGTTTGTTTGCTTGCTTGCTTGCTTGCTTGCTTGCTTGCTTGCTTGCTTGCTTATTTATTTATTTCATATGCATCCTATCAGTTGCACCCTCAGTGACCATCAACCCTCTGAATGCAGAGGATTATGGACTTCCTATGCAGGACAGGAGAAGTGGAGGGGACAATTTTTGCTAGGTGGGCGTTTTTGTCATGTAGCTGCGGTGCATTGGAGAGGGAGAAAGAGGCTGGATAGGCCACAGAATAACTCACTTGCTAGCCTTTTGAGTCTCTTCTCCTTCAGGACACTGGGACTCCCCCTGCTCCAAGGTTGAGTTGCTGATCTCGGAGGGCGGCTGGTTTGGTTCTTTCCCCACAAGATGCAACGGGAGAGGGAAGGAAGCAGCGCTCTGAGTCCCCCTGCTCAGGGTGTCTGACCTTGGACTGCAATCTGGAATATCCTATGGCTCCTCAGTTACTGTCCTGGGCTGTCCTAGGATCACTCCTTATCTCCCTCAATTCATTTCTAAAGCCTTCTGAGCAGTTCACAGAACAATGACCGAGATCACAAAAGATAAGGCCATAAGAACAATTAGGACCATAAGACTAAAACATGCAAATGTAACAACACACAATAAAAAATAATCTAAAATGAACTTAAACTGAAGAGAACCCTGGAGGCAGATCTTTGATAAATGTAATCAGTTCATGATTTATGCAGCACACCAGTGAACTGCTTCCCCGTTGCCTACCATGTTCCCTGGCGCACTAGATCATATATCCCAACATGTGAGGACTAAACTGCTCTCCATTGGCCTGTTTCCACTAAATGTTTACAAATGTGTTTCCCTTGGAAGAGTTCATGCAGAGATCCGATGGTAGGCAAGTGTTCCCTAAAAAAAATAAATAAGTGTCAGATTTGTCCACTGAACAGAATGCGATAGGGAACTCGCTTCTGTCAGCAAGAGTTAATACCATGGAAAAGAAGGACAAGATGGTGCATAGCTGGAACAAAAACGGTCTGGATATAATTATAGGTTTTGTGATGCCCAGATTTTTGGCATCCTTTTGCCCAGGCAGTGAAGAAAAGCATGGGCAGCAGAAGCACAGTGGTGTGGCATGTTAGAAAGGAGCACATTATATGCTCCTTTCGCCTGGCGCCGTCACTTTATTCTTTTCGGCGCCAGGCCAAAACCTTTTTATTTTCCTAATGTTTTAAGACCTGACTGTCTTAATTGGGGTTTTATTGTCAGTTGAATTTTAGGACACTGGGTTTTTTTTTACATTCAGCATTGATAAACCGTCCCAAGACTTCGGTAATGGGACAGTCTAGAAAAGTTTTAAACAAACAAAAAAACATTCTGGCATCTTCACCTTAATTTAAGCAGCCAAACTAGCAGCAGCGATGTGGCTTTATCTCTTTTATACTTTGATTGTCTTCTGAAATGTCTTTTGAAAATCATTTCCTGATGCCTGGCTGTTTAGCTGAAGTTATTTTTAGAAAGGAACAACAGTCCTTTGTTACCATAAGGAGCCTCCCCTCCCCTCCCCTGCCTGCCCCACCAGCAAACCACCCTTCCCTCTTCTTCCTTCTAGCAACCTCTACTTATTATCATTGAAATTCAGACAGACTTCATTCTATAAAAGCCCAGTGTGCCAATGTATAGTTCTTTATTTAACTTTTAAAATATATCCTGTACAATGAAAACAAGTACTCAATTGGTGATGGCAGTATATCCATTATTTCATGCAACCTATTGTGGACCATAGAATTATTCTCTGCATGCCATTAAAATTTGTCAGAATAAAAAGACACTACAAAAGCAGTGAGATTTATATAGTTTCCAGTCCAGTGAGAGGGTAAGCAGAAACATCTAAACCAGGTTCTGTGAGGGGTTCTCCTCCACCACACATGCAGCAGGAGACTATCCGAAGGGTCGCACTGGCATTCAGCAGCGTCCATTGGCTACATCATGATAAATCTGATCTGAAATACCTGGGGTTAGAGCCAGATTTAGTTCTGTTCTGAGTACACTCACCGTAACCAATGGGAGTTATATTAACCAGGGCTAACACAACCCACACTGACTTCAGTGCATCTACTCTTGGTTAAGGTATGACAGCCCGAGGAAAGGGAATTCAGAAAAAATCGGGAAAAACTGTCCCACTCCCACATTTTTTTCAAACTGCTTTGGAAAAAGTGGGTGGAAATAAGGTATTTATTCCTGAACCTCTGACTCCCTTATTTATTTATTGCCAAAGCCTTCAAATATCAGTCTCTAAGTATGACTAAAACTGGATCCATTCCCCGGTGTTGGACATCTCCTCATTCTTCTCTCTTACTGACCATTATTTGCAGAGCTGCCCCAACATGGTTTGGTGTTAGGGTTAGGGTTAAGGTTAGGGTTAGGGTGAGCACCAAATAACTGCTGGTCATAGTTATGACTATGACAAAATTTACAATGATAGAATTATTTTTAAAAATGTCTTTAAAGACTGCTGTGGGAGCTGTTCATATTAATTAGTATAGAATTAATATTCTTTGTAGGGAAATATGTATCCAGAATTTCTGCTGCAAGTGTTTGGGAGAAATAGGAGGCAAGGAGAAAGAGCTGAGAGCCATCACTTCCCCATTCCAAACTTGACTTCTGCCTTAGAGGAAATGTAAATGAAGCTGCCACCTCCCCCATCAGCTTCAGGTATGAGCTGGGTAAAATGATGCAACTTTTGTGGCAGGAGGAAAGAGTGCAGGTGAAAAAGAAAGGACACAAAATGGAAAAAAATGAGGAAAAAGCCCAAAGAACATAAGCGTCCTACCAAGTCAAATCTTTGGTTCATCTAGCTCAACATCAGGGCCGGCCCAAAACTTTATGCTTAGTGCTATGCCGAAAATTTATCCCACATTTTTAAACATTTTTTACTCAGTTTATAGAAATTACTTTCAAAAAGAAATTCAATGGTGAAGAAAATTTTGGAGAAATTCTCACAGGTTGGGCTTGAGTTTCTTGTGCATACCTCATGGGAGTTGGCCAAGGAGTGTGCACAAGTGTCTTTTTTTCATCATACCAATCATCTCTCTGGCTGCTTCCCGCCTTCCTACTCCTCAGTTAAAGCCCATGGAAAGAAATCATGTGGTAATTTCTCCCTGAGGGTCTTTTTTCATCAAGAAGCACAGATAGCCTAAGAGGGGCAGATCAATAGAAAGATGTGCAGAAGAAAGAAAGCACACACACAAACCTCTGGCAGTGTTTACATGAGAAAAAATCACCAGGATATAAATGATAAGCCTGAGAATGAGGTAGAATAAAGGAAGATTTTGGCTCAGCTTCATACTTATGCTGGAGCCGGACACAGCACTGCCCCCTCACGTCTGCGCTGTAGGGGAAGGGCTGTTGTCACTTACACTGGCAGCACAACAGCCCTCAAAAACTCTTACAAAAAAGGTGCTTTGACACCTGCTGTGAGAAAGCATTTGAAGGACTTTCTTTGGCCACAAATAGGGTGGAGACCTTTTGCCCGTAGCTCTAGTTTTGCTCCCTGAGGCAAAGGACGAGCCGGCACTTGCTTCCACCCTGTAAGCACAGGGCCAGCCCTACCATTAGGCCGAATGAAGCAGCTACCTCAGGGAATGGATGCTGCGGGTGGAGAGGTGTTAGGAGGACCGAGAGATGGGTGCTGCTTGGGTCTTCCCTGCACCCACAAGCTAGCCTGATGCCCTCGGGTGTAGTGGAGGATCCTGTTCCACTAGAAGCACTGAAGTAAGAATCAGTTCTCACTCTGGTTGGTTTCTGTACGTGGAGTGCAAGGGGCTTCAGCTCCGGCAGCAAAATGGCTTGGGCCAACCCTGTGTAGACCAAAGCTGACCAGACTGACAGTTCAGTCGTGCTTCAACACCGGTGATGAAAGCAGTAGGCTAGCTTAGAGGGCTCAGAGCAGCCCATCTAGCATCGCCATCCCTGTCCTCCAACACCATGCTGCCCTTCGCTATCGCCCAGCTCTGATGTTGCAGAGACTGCCCCCCTCTGCCTCACAATCGGGCCATGCTAGACTGGCCAGGATTGTCTTGGGTTCCAGACGGGAGTCTTTTCAAGCCCTCCCTGTACCTGGGCCCTTTTGCAAGCCAAGGATGTGCACCCCCTGCAAGCTATAACCCTTTCCCAAGGAATGGAAGATGAGGGACTGTCTGAGGGCCAGGATGAAAGGAAGGATGGAAAGCTAACAGGAGTGGGGGAAAGGCAAGTTGGGAGAGAAAAGATCACTAGAGAAGGGAACGGGTGACAGAGCATAGCTTAGGAAGGGAGCGGGGAGCAACTCAGGATGGGGGAAAGAAGCAGGAAAGGAAGCAAGAGAGAGCTGGGAGGCAATGGAGCCCAAAGGAAAGCCACGGGCATTTGGGGGTGGCTGAAGTGGAGTGCAGGCCTTTCTCTTTCGCCTCACTCCTAGGGCCCAGCAGGTACACATTCTCCTCCTGACCACCTGGCATTTCTCCCTCTCCTTTCTGCTGCACACTCCCACTTCTTCTAGCAGCACAAGAAGGAAAAAAGGCCGGCTAATTGGGGCCTGTCCCTCCAGCCAGTCACCGGAAGCTGCGTTGTTGCTGCGTTGTTCAGGTGTCTGCATCCTGGGACCAGCTCCGCTAGCAAGGAGGGCCTGGGCCTCAGCAGTAACAAGTCACAGGGGTAAAACATCTTGTCCAAAGCCCATAATAAGACTGTAAATTAAGTTTTAAAGGTGGGAAAAGAGGGTAAAAACCATTTTCTGTACCTCTGTCTAGAATCTGAAAGTTCACCATAATAGTTAGATATGTACATGATAAGGGAAGAATTCTCGTGGTTTGTTGTTTTATCTTTTTTGCTGCGTTGTGAGCTTGTAAATGACTTGGGATCCATTATCCCAGGCAAAGAGTTGCTTTTCTCTAGAGTAATAATGCACCATGGAATGACTCGCCTGGCGTTTGGGGAAACGAAGTGCTGGGATTTCATAAGTATTGATGGTATCTAAGATATCATAGATACAATCTATCCGAGAGGTGCCTCCCCCTGGAGAGTTGTATATGACATACAGGCTGCCACACATCATGAAAGCTGCTTCCGCGTTCTGGTTTTTGCAGGATGTGTCCCAGGTGTGCTCCACAGCCAGGGTCTCAGGGCTGAGTTTCGTAATGACCATCTTCCTATCTGGCTCTGCATGGATTGCCCACAGTCCCAGCTCATCCACTGCTAGGTCTATTTTGGTGGCAGGATAAAGATCGTAGGCTGGTGTCTGCCCCGCACCTGAGAGCAGCATCCGGTCAGTGATATTTCTCTGCTGAATATCAAACTTAATTATTTCATTTAAGGAGCCATATCTGTGATAAAACAGAAAGCCGTTATATATCACATGGCCTGTGCCTTGCCAGGGAAATGGCAGGTTTACTCTCCGAACCGATTGTTTCTTACCGCTTTCAGCAAAGGTCCGGATGTTTGCAAACTCCATTACAGTTTTGTTCTTTATCCCACTTAGGAAATAGATCTTTTGGTAATTCTTGCCTGGGTCTTTCAACCATGAGCCATGGGTGTCTCCAGACCTCTTTACTATTTTTAGGGATTTGATGCCTGCCACCATGTAGCTGCAACCTTGAAAAGAAAAAGAAGTGGGGAGGGAAGGATGAAAAAATTCCCAGTAAGGATAAGTATATTTAGTAGCTCATTTAACACATCCTTTGCTTTAAGGCACAATCCTATGCAAGTTTTGACAGACAAAAAGGCCTATCTGTTGGCTGAGGAATGCTGGGAATTGTACACTTTCCCTGCCTAAACAAGCACAAACTTCCTGTCTAAACTTGTTCCCTTGGTATCTAAATATGTTTTCCACCCATTCCAGGATAACTGGAAAAAGCATACATTTGTTTCCCAAAGGTGGCTGTGTAGTTATCATCACCTGTCACACCTGCACAAAGATTAAAAATAAATAAATTAAAACGAAACCAGTAACCTCTTCTGCAAGGCCTGACTAACCCAGTGGGCCTAAACAGGAACTCGGGAAGTGGTAAAAGGAGGCCAGACCAGGATACTTCCCACTGGACAATCGGGTCTGCACTAAGCTGGCTGGACTCTGGACCGAAACTTGGCTTTAAAAATAGGCTGAATTCTCTACACACACAAGCACATGATAGGAAAGTGGGTATAGAGGTGCAGGCTACAATTTATGGAGGAAGACATGTGAATGACTCTCAGTTCTGACATTGGGGGTATCAATGGAGAACTCCTCTTCATCTCATGAGGATAAAAACAAGCCCTATGGTTCATGCTGGAATCCAGGACACAAGTATTTTTCTAAGAACTCTTTTTTCTGAAAGAGGCTTTATTGCAGTTTACTCACATACATAACTAGGTTGCCAAAGGCAATATCGATTGAGAAGAGACACTATCTGGAGTTTAAAGAATCTTTTTAAATAGGGTACAGCATTTGCAGCCAAACACAGTAAACAAACCCTTAGGGCAGGAAGCTGTAGCAGAAAATGTTATGGAAAAGGCTCCAGCCATCTCTGCAGTGTTATTGCTGCCCTCTTTCGGAGGCCAGTCTGGATTAGTTAAAATTGGTGGGAATATTTCCATTCCCTCTGCAGGGTCTGGGTTATAGTCTTGGATGCCAGTGGCAAATACTCTGTGTATAGCAGGGAGAGGATGAATGGTCCTAAAAGTCATGCTGCAGTGGGTTACCCCAAATCATACCAGAATCAAAATTCCTGTGTGTTATGCTTCATTAGAAAGTGGAGGAAGCAATATTTGCAGTCACCACAAAGCCTGAAAAGAAAGATCTGTGATGTGTAAGTACACTTTTGTGGCCCAGGACGCCTCTCCCATAACTCCACATTGTTCTGTCACATTTGCAGTGGAAATTTACAACAAATATGGGGGATAGCCTGCCAGAAAAAGGGACTGTTGTGCTTATAAAATACCTTACACAGGAAGGTCCTGAGTTGGCAAAGCACATGACGACATAGTTTGCATGGACTGCTCAGTCTTTTTCTGATCTGTGACAATTGTGCATGTGCTCATTTGTAATTCTGTTCATCCTGCTTCTGCATTAATGTTGCTTTTAATATTCACCTTTTTGAATGTATTTTCTTATAACATATGGATTTCTGCCTGTTTTATTGCACGATGCACATTTTCATATATTTTTGAGCTGAGAACTGCATCGCAAAATTCAGAGGCGTGTGAAATCCAAATATGCACATTCAGTGTTCTGATCTGTGCATTAGTCGAGTAGTTATGGTTCAGATTGTTTCATGTCAGAATGCAGATCAAGAACTGAGAGGCATCGGAGAACATGAATGGTGCAGTCCTAAGACATAGACCCAACTAAGAGGTTGGAAAATTGTTCCGACCTTGTAGCTGGCTCTCTGCTTTTGGAGAGCCTCCCCCATCTTGCAGCTGGTGCAGAAAGAACCATACTGGCTGCATCTCCCAGGTTACAAGAGTGACCTGAGAGACAGGTTTTTGGGAGTGATGAAGGGAGGAGGCAGGTGCTGCCAAAATCTGAAGCATCCTGGCAGAGCCTCACTTGCCTCTTCTTACCGGATGGCTTAAGTCAGCTGTTTAAGTGTTTTGCAGTGCAGGACGACCATGACAGTCTTTGCCTCTGTGCGCCTCCCACCCTGCACAGAATGCCCACCATGCTCCAGGTCTGAAGTCTTATAGGCATCCGTACTGAATTGTATCCAAAAAGAATATGCTATATGAGTAAGCTGTACTTACTTGCATTAAGCATGAGTTGGACTTTCTTTTTGGACTCTTCTTCTTCAATTAGCTGCTGCTCCAGAAGATCGCTACCTACTTCCACGCATGTGTCAGGCGACTCTTTTGTAGATTCAAAGTAGTCAATGTCCCTTTGCGCCCTTTCCACTCTTGTTAGCAAATGGTCCAAGTCGTTTTTGAGCTCTGTCTTTGAAATGATGGCGCCTTCTAGGCGTGACATCATCTTTTTTGAAAGCTCCCGGAACTCTTCTACATAATCCATTATGTCTTGATTGCATTTGTTCAATCTCTCCTTTGATTAGAACACAAATAGATACATTTATAAAAGGAGAACCCGCTTAAGAGATGGCTATTTCAGATGAAACAACTATCTTTGGACATTTTGTATTCAACCACATATACCCATCACTCTGGTGGTAAGGAACTTTGGGCTCTCCAGATGTTGTTGGACTTTTTAATTTAATTTATTAAAGTTGTTCAAAGGCCCCCCCATTAGCATCACGCTCTCTGGGTGGCCATTAAAATAAAATTACCAATAGGTAACATAGAGACTTTGGATTCTAGCTCAGATAAGCCACAGATAGCCTGGCCAATGGACAGGAGTGGTGGTGGTACTCCAACAACATCTGGAAAGCACCTGGTCCACAGACCTACATTAATGAGTTGTGGTTAGGGTGCTTTTTGTTGAGAGCAGATGATTCTGAATGCAGCCAGCTTAGCACAGCTGGCGTGTGTAGCTTTTTCTGCTTGAAAATGCATAGGATTCAGCCCTAAATAATGCTTCCTTCATGACACTCACATTCAGCCCCCTCGTTCTGCCTCAGGCAGGGCTGACCTTGCCCCATCAGCAGTCTGATGATCGAGTCCTCCATCTCTAAAGGCTAAGGGTACCTTAGAGGACCAGGACAAGCTCAATAGCACATGCAACTCTTGCCCTCCTTGCTACTGAGCATCTCTTTCCTGATGCAGCTGATTCATCCTACCTAATAAGAAAGCAGAGCCTACCTCTGGGTGTTTTGGATAATGCCCCTAGTCCACTTGGACTCCCTTGACTGAAGTTTGACCATGCCTGGGATCTGTCCTGAGAACAGGTCACCACCACTTTTGTTCCCTTTGGCTCATTGGCATATTTTCCTCTCCTACAGTATGTAGAGCTGGGGGTCAGACTAGATGGCCTGGGAGGCCCCTTCTGACTCTCTATGTTTCTGTGTATATTGATGAACATCCGACCCCACCATACACACACACACACACACACACACACACAATACAACATGAGAGAGAACCCTCTGGTCTCATGTTTTTCGGAGAGCATCCGGCTGCTTCGTTTTGTACTGTAAGAAAGCTGGACAGCAGCTGACAGAAGCATTTCACCAGGGCCTAATAATTCCATGCTAGAAGGCAGCACAAATAGTGACAGTCCTGGCAGGAGACAACAGTGAGGCCCCTGCTGCTCCAGATGTTGTGCAGCTGGAGGGGAGGAAGCCAAAGAAAATAATTTGCTGAATATTATTACTTGTGTTGTGTGTTGCAGCTTCTCCATGGACAGCTTGCTCTCCCTTCCCTCATTTTAGCTAGAAAGGGGAAGGGTAGGGAGAAAGTAAGCCATTCTGTCTTGGAAATGTGAGCACTCAGGTTGCAACTATGTGAATATCTGTATTTGAATCAAGATGGGTAATACCAGGAATGACATAAGATTCTGGGAATTCATAGAGGAAGAGGCCCTAGGAAATCGACCTGCACAGCCTCTCATACACGTCCTACTGAGCAATTTGTGGCCCGTCAGATATTTGCTGTCCAACTCCTCTGTCATCCCCCTGCATCTACTATGCTGGCCAAGGCTGTTGACAGTTATGCTTCCCACCCTGTCCTATAGATTAACAGGAAATGCCTTTGCACACGTAACTTCCTGTGGCAGCTATCTTAGGGTGGAGGTACTCCCCAAGAGTAGAACTGAATTGGATCAGATTGGATCAGCCTATTCCCCATCCCCAGAAATGCATGCTCTGTCATCCTCTCCATCCCACCTGTGTGAGCTTCCAACCCTTTCTCATTTTCTCAGAGTCCAATTATGTCTTCCCCCACCACAACAAGAGGAGGGAAATTTTGACCTGCTTCTCCAACATGACCTGCTGATGTGGATACACTACACAGCAGCTTGCCAAGCACTGGGGATGGGAGCAGGGCAAGATCTTCCTTTCTCCCCTCCATTTGCTGGTGCTGGAGCAGTAGGAGCAGGTGGGGGGTATGGAAAAGGGGGAGGGTTTGGTGGGACATGGCTGGGAGAGGAGACGTTTCGGGGTGGACGGAATGAGAGGAAGTGCAGGGGTAATTCTCCTCTGGATTGGATTAAGCCCAAGAATGATTCATGGGCTGCAGCACTCATCTCCTACTTGAAGTGAGCATTACAATGCCTGCTTTCCAAAGTCAGGAAATACAGGAAGCCCTCAGGAGCCTCTCCATAGCTGTCAGTCTCCATGGCCCATTTGGAAAGTGATGCTTCCCATTTTGCGGTACAACTCTCAGAGGAGATAAGTGCTAATGAGCTATGACAAATGGCCACACAGTGATTGATTATAGCAATTATTCAGTTTATCAAGAGACAGTTCAAATAATAACCTATCATCTTGGCTTCGCCCTGCCTGCCCCTTCACCACCTCTGGATGGTGCTCTAACCCTTCCACACTGGAATTCCATGACTTCCCCCCTCTGACTTGCCCATCCAGTGTGGATGATAGGCCTGTGAAGCCAAGGTGGTCGGGATGCTGAATATTTTTGCGGCGGCCTTCCTGTGCTGCCGGATTGCTGTCAGAACCCCAAAATGTATCATGTGTTGTTTTTCCTGGCATGTAGAGAAGCAATGCTACAGTTCCATTTCAGGCAGCTGAGAAAGTTTCCGGAGCCCTGCCAGGAAAAACCCTGTGTGTTTCTCCTGTGTGCAGTGCCTAGCAAGTGCTAGCTGCTTTCTGCTCAGACAATGGCAATAGAGACCCAAGTCTTAGCAGATGCTTGAACGCTGAGAGGTGTACTCAGAGTTTGTGCAGATAAGAGTCTTGTGGAAGCCAAAAAGATATGTGGTGCAACCATGCATATTTATTCAGCAATAAGTCCCGCTGCATTCTGTGGAGCTCACTCCCAGGAATGTGTGCCCAGGATCATAAACGTAACAGGGAGTAAGGTTTATTAAATACAGTGGGACACAGACACACTTCCACTGGTAATTAGTAAGCACACAGTAAGTTACAGCAAGCTGCAATTTTAGTAAACTGCACACATTTTTCAAGAAATTATAATTAAAATAAATGTTTTCTTTTTACTACATCGACAGAATTTGAATCAGCTTTCTGCATGTGTTTTGAGTATCAATGGCCAGGACTGCTGCTGGACATTGTAGCCCAAAACATACAGAGAGCACCAAGTAGAGGAAGACTGATGATGGGATTTATAGTGCAGGTATTCAGGATTCAAGAGTTTTAAAAGTACTTCCTTGGGATTTTCAAAACATAGACAAGTGGCAATCCCCTAGAGTAACCAAAACATTTAATGAATTCAGAATCAGAGATGCTGGAGCACCTGAATTGAAGTACTTCCTTAATTCAAACTGGGTACAGATTGACAAATGGATGTGCTCCTAAACCTGGGGAAAAAATGGTTGAGCAGTCCATGTTTTAAAAAATTCCCAATCTGTATTGTTGTCTCATTTACAATCAGCATTAGTTAAAAACACAGGACATAATCTAGCCAACATAAAACACTAATTAATGTGCTCTCTCCCTTCAAAATCAATTGAACTGAAAAAGGCTTCACTTTTTCTAGATTGCCCCCTTTGTAGTTTGGTACATTTCACTTGGTAATGAAATCAGGATGAACAGCAGCTGCCCTGATGTTTCCTAAACAGTGTTAATTTTTGGCTTTTCTCTATATCTTAAGTTTAACTGTGCATAATCAAAGCTATACTTGTAACTCCTTGATTATTTTAAAGCAAAGCAAGTGTTTTATGGATATTGATGGCATATTCTTTACAAGGAAAACAAAATCAAATTTCAAATATAGCTGCAATAGCTACCGCTGAAACATATAAATAGTACATACCTCTATTGACAGAATTCGGCGGTCGATGTAATGAATTAATCCAGCATCTTGCATTACATACTGTGCTTCTCCCACGATGCTAGTAAAGAATGAAACCAATAAGAATCTGAGCTTTATGGCTGCCATGGTTGCATTAAACTTTCGACAATAATTGTGGCAGCGGTGGCGGGGAAGGAACACCCCAGGACTGACTGACACCTAAGACTGCAACGTAATTTCTGCCTAACACTTTTCTGTGTGTTTGAGCAACACAAACTCTGAATGCCTTAAAATGGCTGTTGACGTTCGTCCAGCCTCTCATTAGCGAATAAAGTTGTGCAAACCTCTCAGCTAGATAAGTTTGTTTCTGGGAGCCAATGGAGCGCTTTCCAGCTCATGATCTTTTGATTGGGTCCAGATGTCGGAGCTCAGCTGCACAAAGCATGCAGGCTAGCCATGCTAAGCAAAAGCAAGGAACCAACCTTCCTTCCTTCCTTCCTTCCTTCCTTCCTTCCTTCCTTCCTTCCTTCCTATCATAACCCCCATCAATGAGAAACATTGATAGGGTCCAGATTTCAGATTATGTTGCCTTGTTACATATTGCAGGTTGTAAACTTTCTGAACAGTCTTCCCTTTCCTTTTCCCTTTCCCTCCTATGTGGCACTTTACCATTTGGAAAGTGGATGCTCAGCCCCAGAGCAAGAGACAGAGGTGAGTGGAGAAGAGAGGGAAGAGCAGGTGAGTGGCTGAGCGAGCAAGCGAGCGGACAAGCATCCCACCTGCAGCCGCTTCTGGACTTCAGCGGGGGCGGGGGGCTTACTGGCACTGGCCCATGACTCCTTCCGGGGCCTTGTGGTTATGGTTGTGGCCCTGGGTGGTGGCTGAAGAGAGACACAAGCTTGTTTGATGCCTGTTCAATGCTCACTCGGAGTTGCTGGGTAGAAGTTTTTTTTGTCTTTGTGCATATTACAGCTGAGGGTTTGGTTAAGTAGGTTTAATTGTTGTCTGGGGATGGAGAGGGCCAGCGGGTGGAGCTATAAGGATGATTACAGGTAGGGGGAGATGTGCTGGTGGGAGAGGAATGTGCCCACATAGGAGAAGAGAGAAACATAGAGACACAGAAGCATAGAAACAGAGTGAGCCAGAAGGGGCCTCCCTTGCAGCCAGAGACACTTGTTGCTCTCAAGGAACATCCTGTCAGCTCTCTCTCTCTCCAGCAATTGCTGATTTGCATACTTTATTAAAGCCCCTTACTTGGATGAACTTAAATGCAGAATAAGGTTCCTTTTCTTTCCCAAGATAAAATGCAGTATTTAAACATGAAAGCAAAAGAAAACATGATTTCCTGTTTTGTATTTGCACTGTTCTTCTATTCAACAGCGCCACTTAGAGGTCATGTAGCAGAGAAGCAAGAAAGGAAACACTCCTTATGTAGTGCTCAGATTCCAATTTTGGGGTGAAACTGGAAGATCCTATGGAAAATCTCTGCAATTCTCTTGCTGTTTGTAAAAATGGCAAAATTATCCTCATCCTTGATTAAGAATGGGAACAAAACTCTCTCCCATCTTAAATAATGGTACTGCACTCAAGCATTGTTCTATTTCTGACAACCCCAAACATTATGACAACCCCCAGGCTCCATTTCCAGTCCTTCCCTTCCCTTAAACTGACTCTCAAAATAATTAACATCTGGGAAGAATATGTTAATTATTGACAAAAGCAAACCCCTTGCTAGGATAAATAAGATCAAATTGCATTGTGGAAATAAAAAGGGCCTAACCTGCAGCAAAAGCACGTCAGAGTAAGCCCCAGGCAAGCTTCACTGGGGAAGGCATTTTACAGCTGGGCCCTGCCCACGAGAAAGCCTTTCTTCTAGTTCCTCAGCTGAGGGACAAGCCAGATGAAGCCTGCAGCATCAGTCGGTGGCCCGTGTGGGTCTGCCTTTGACCCAGGTGACTGACCAGGCAACGCTGCATTTGCCACAGAAATATTTGGGAGACGATGCAATTCCCTCACGAGCCACTAATCACGTAGACTGCATGCTTTAATAGGCCACCAAAAACATGGTAAGGAAATCTACCCGAAGCAGTGCTGAAAACATGCTTTGGTCATGTACTGCAACAATTTTAAACCACATTACTACCCTGTATCAATAGGATTCTTTTATATCAAGTTCAGAATAAAAGTGACCCAATATTTTTATTTGGCATTACATATATATATATGTCACCCTTTTCCTTCTTGCACGAAACCCAAAGTGGCTTACACAGCCACCCTCCCCTCCATTTCAACCTCACAACAACCTTGAAAAGTAGGCTACAAATCAGTAAGTAGCCCAAAGTCACTTCATGGCTGAGTGAGGAGTAGAATCCTGTGGAGACTAGGGCTCCGATAGCCCAAGTCCCAGTCCAACACTTTAATCACCACACCACATGGACTCTTATTGCAGCTGTTATTTTAGGAACTGCACATGCTATTGTGAAGTAGTGAATGCCCCACCCTTACGTTTTGCAAAGTTTATCTGATGCCGTGCTTCATCAGACTCCTCTTTCTCTTCCTGCCACTCTAGCAGGTTGAGCTGCGGAAAATGGGAGGAGAGATAGATCCATTTCATCAGCCTAACTGAAAATCTTTTTTATATTTTCCTTTTCCCTTTGCACCCCCTTTTCCTTGTGCATAGCATTTTTAAACTGCATGCCTGCTGGAAGGAACTGACATGTTTTACTGATTGCAAGTAAGCCACTCTGGGACCTTTTTGGCTGAGGAGCAGGTTAAAAATACTTTAAATACCGTATTTTTCACTCTATAAGACGCACCTGACCATAAGATGCACCTAGTTTTTAGAGGAGGGATCCATGGAAAGCTTCCTGATAATCACAGGCACATTCCCCATCACTTCCCCATGGGTTTCATTAAAAGACGGGTTGCCATTTGAAAACACACACCAACCTATGATTAACAGCTCTCACCTGTGCTGGAGAAGGGGGCGGAGCAGGGCGCGCCAAGCACGTGCCGGCCAGGTGTGGTGCAGCCGGGCCAGCAGCGTGCCGGCGGTGGTCTTCCGGGTGGTGTGGCGGCGGCGGCGGCAGGTCTTCCCGGGCGGTGGGGGTGAGCACTCCGTCTCTCCGTGCAGCTGGCGGGTTAAAGCCCGCAGCTCCTCCTCCTCCGCACTGCTCCCCCTGAGCGGCACAGCTCTCACCTGTGCCGGGGGGGAGCAGCGCACGCCGAGTGCGTGCCGGCCAGGTGGTGCCATGTGGTGCAGGCAGCCGGCAGCGTCCCGGACATCAGGCGCACACACATTCGCTCTGTAAGATGCACAGACATTTTCCCTTACTTTTGAGGGAGGAAAAAGTGCGTCTTATAGAGCGATAAATACGGTAAACGAACAAAAAATCATATGCATGCCAGAAAATGTCAGATAAATGATGAAACGTCTTTGACAAATATGGTATCTCAGCAGTGCTGCAGTGAGGCCAAACCTTCCCTTCTCGTATTTCATCACAGACATTACGTATTTATAAAATTCCACACATTCAATGTCTTTCAACTGGCATCTTTCCAAAGAGATTATATTCCCACCCACATGAGTGCTCTCTGTGTTCTCTGAAGTATTAGCACATGCATATTACTGATTCAGTGCCTGACAATGTATCACAACACCCAGAATTTAGCTCTTGATTCCATATTCCAAGGAAAACATGGCAGTGTGATTTATTGATAAACATTTGCACAAAGTCACTGGCTAATGAAACCCAGCCCTGGAGTCTCACATCAGTTAAAAAAATATACAAACCCTGGTGTAAATTGTAATAGCAGGAAAATAAGAAAAGGCATGAGTAATTCTATCTATTAGTATCCTACTTATTAATTTCATTTCTATACAACCTAATAGCTGAAGCTCTGCTGGCAGTGTACACTTATTCATAAAATAAAGGAATAATACAGTATGCAATGTAAATAAAAGTACAACCAGCATAAAATTTCACCACAAAGATTATATCATCAAATTCTAAATGACTAAGATTGGTGAATATAAGTAGGCCTGTTAAAATAGCCCAAAGAATCCACCTCTCCGTGTGTTATTTAGAACTGTTAAAAGCCTTGGCAGAGAGGGCAGTCTTAACCTGACTCCAAAGGTATGGTAGAACTGGTGCCAAGTGGGTCTCACTGGGGAGTTTCTCCATAATTTGGGGGCTGCCACACAGAAGGCCTTCTTCCTTGTTGCTATTAACTGAGGTCTCTTGAAAGAGGCCTAAGATGTTGAGTCTAGGTAGACTGGAGCTGGAAGAGACAGTCCCTCAAGTATCATGGCTGCAAGTTAGGCAGAACTTTATAAATCAAAACCAGGTCCTTGAATCAGGCTCAAAAGCAGCCGGTGCAAGCAGGCCAGAACTGGTATAATATCATCAGACCTTATCCTAGCCTTATCTAATTAGCTTGCTTGCTGTGTTTGGCATCAGCTGGAACTTCTGAACAGTCTTCAAGGATAGCCACATGTAGATTATGATTTAGAGATTATCAGAGCATAGCTTAGTGAAACCAGGCTAAGGGAAAGCTGGCAGAAGACACTGCTTACCATTGGGGGCATTTGAGCTTCAAATGACAGTTGGCTCAGAGAGACTGAAGGATGACCCCAAGCTATGAACCTGCACCTTCAAGAGGATGGCAGCCCCATCCAGAACAGGTTGAACACCAGTCAGAGGAACCACCTGCCAACAGTCCATCTCCATCTTGTTTGGGCTGAGATGCTGCTTTAATGCATCCACACCTGATATAGATGAGAAGAGAAATATAGCTGTATGCCATCAGTGTACAGATGGCAATACATGCTAAAACTGCAGATGACCCCACTCGGGTTGATCCCTGAGGAACTCCATACTGCAGAGTCCACAGGGCTGGCAATATTCCTCAGGTACTATTTTTCAGGAATGGCCACCTGGGTAGGAGCAGAACCACTGTAATGAAGTGCCCCCTCCGCCCTCAAGGCCTGCTCAGGCAGCTGCCCCAGCAGGATACCATGATCAATGGTACCAAAAGCCACTGAGTTCCAGCAGTATCAATGGTCACACCCCAAAGCTGCTTTTGCACCCAAGCCTGGCCTAACCCCCAAAAGAAATTGATCTGGGTAAAATCATCTCAATCCAAATCAAATAAATGCAATGTTTATCACATTCATTTCATTTGTGCCCCTTCTTTCCACCAAGAAAAATGGGACTCCAGCTTACTTATAATCAGAAATATGGATAACAACAATAATAAAATGAATGGATTTAAGTACAATCTAAAACATTTGTTTAAGTTTTATACAGCACAATAACAGAACCTCTCTCACCTGTTCACAACAGTCATAATAGAATAAAAACTGTATCCAAGCCAACAGACTACTTACAAAGCAAAGGGCTAATTTCAGATGGTTGCTTCACCTGCAAAAGGACT